AAAGGTTGGAGAAAAGCAAAGCTCACCCTTAGTGAGTGAGGCAGAATACTAGACGGCAGGAGGAAGGAGGCGTGGGATCAGCCAGGCGGCTCTCCCAGGCCCTGGCCTTCTCCTGTGGAAAGGCCTGGTACACACACACCTGTGTTCTGTGCAGTCTGTGCCTGGTGAGAGCACCTCTGTGGACGACTGCGGAACCCTGTGTGGGGCTTACAGGCTGGAGGCAGACCAGCCCCACGTCCAGCCGGTCGGTCCTGCTCTGCCGGGTGCAGACATCTGTCTACAGGTCTGCGCTCCACCGCCAGAGCCAAGCCCGCACCTGGGTGGTCCCAGGGGCTGCCGATGCGAGCTCAGGGCGCCTACGACTGGAGTCTGGCGGTTCACACAGGGCGCGGCTGGCTGCTGTCTCTTATAGGAGGGGCCTGCTCCCTGGCCTCTCAGGAGCCTCTGACCCATTCCCTGCATTCTGCCCAGGAACCCTCTAGGGTCACCTCTGGAACTGTGGCTCAGCTGCCTCAGGCCACCAGGAGGCCCAGGTGTCAACGCTGGAGAGCTGAGGGCTCCAGTCCTCGCACTGTGGTGACGAGTGGTGAGTGTGGGCGGGGGTCTCTGCTGTTCCCACCTGCCATCTCCAAGGTGTTCAGTCAGCCACCGAAGCCTGAGGGTCACCGGGCCTCTGCTCACTGGCCCTCCAGATGAGGAGCGTCCTGTTGGCTGACCAAGGTGTCCCGGACTCCCCGGGAGCCTGCCGTCCTCTGGGGCCTCAGGCCCCCCTCTGCCGTGTGCTCGGGCATGGGGGGTCCTGGCTAAATCTGCAGGTGTAGACGTGGCTGGCACAGTCAGTCGGGTCGACCTGGTGCCGCCTTCAGAAAGGGCTTGGTGCGTGCCACCCTGGGCACTGCTGTGAATCCTGTGGTTTCAGGGACCTCATGGACAGAACAGAGGCTCAGGGCCTCACGGGCGCTGAGTGCTATGCCTCCCCCTCCCCACTGAGGACTGAGGAGGCCGCTTTCTCCTGGGCTCAGCTGCCTCAGGCCACCAGGAGGCAACAAGAGGTCACTCAGCAAGTGACAGGGACATGCAAGCCGCGACAGGTGGCCACCCTGTGGACCCTGCCCTCTGCTCTGCACTTTTCAGATTTTGTTTGAGGACTTTGCTGTCCAGAGCGTGGACCTCTCCACAGGCTCCGGGTCAGACCCTGGCAGCACCCCAGGAGCTCTGGCACGCGGGATCTGTGCCCTTGTTGGTGATGTTTCACTTTATTTTTGGTGCCAGAGATTGAACCCAGGGGCACTCACCTACCAAGCCACATCCCCAGCCCTTTTTACTTTTTATTTTAAGACAGGGTCTCGCTAACTTGCTGAGGCTGGCTTTGAACTCATGACCCTCCTGCCTCCTGAGCCACTGGGAGGACAGGCCTGTGCCTGGCCATTGGTGACTTTTTCAATACAGTTTGTTCACTGTGGTAAAATGTATGGACCATGAAAGTGACTGAGAGCAGGTCACTCTGCTGCTGGCCCGTCTTAAAGTCGTCTTCTGACAGTGGTGGCTGCGGCTGCTCCTGGGAGCAGGTGGGGTGTGTCTGCTTTTCTGGGGCCCGGGCGGGTCAGTGAAGCCAGGGCACTCGTCCTGGCCGCCCTAACAGCCACGAATCCAGCCAAGAAGGCACTGGGGACCACAATCTTAGTTCCTGACTGGCAGGAGAGGGCCAGTGGGGTCACTTGGGCCTGTGGGGAGGTGCGAGCTCCAGGTGCCTGCCCGCCGGTAGGGCTGCGACAGAAGCAGACGCCCGCCTCTCCGGCTCCCTACTCTGGGCCAGGGTCATCTGTTTGCTCTGCGAGAAACTCTTACACACTCCCATGCCAAGGCCAGGGACAGTGAGAACCCCGAGGGACCATGGGAACACTGTGCGGTCAGCACCTTTGGTCCATGCGGATGGACAGCTGCCCTTGGCCGGAAGATCCTCTCGCACCACGCCAAGCTCTGCCGCACAGCCCAGCTCTGGCCGCCCTCTGGGTCCCGTCTGTGTCCTCCTGAGCACTGGGATCTGCATGGCCGGGTCTCCCTGCAGCATGGAGCGCCACACAGCATTCCGTGAGAACAGAAGTGCCTTGGAGCCCTAGGTCATGCAGAGTGCCGGAGGCGAGATGCCCTGAACATGCCCAGCCTGACCTGCCTCTGCCCCTCGGAGCTCCACCCTCCACACTGGCTGCCTCCTGCTGCTCCCGCCCTCTCCCCGTCCTGCATGCCGCACTTGCTTACAGGGGCAGGTAGTGGGACCCCGCAGCCTCCCCCTGGGCACTGGGCCCTCAGCCTCACCACCGCATTATCCTGAGCTGGCTGTCTTGAGTGACAGGCACCAAGGAGCCTGCCCTCCTGGGGTGCATGGCTTCATGTCCCTGTGGTGACGCCCCCAACCTGGGGGTGCGTGCATGCTCCCCCGAATGCAGTGTCAGGGACACGGACGCCTGCTGTCCTCTTATGGAGGGCCATGCTTTCCACCGCTGGCCCGCAAGATTGGGCCTTTACAGAGGTAGGTTAATGGCTGTCCCCAGGGCAGAACTCTGAGGCCCACCCAGTGACTGACAACTCCCACAAAGTGTGTGCTCATGATGGCCGCTGTCTGATCTCGCCTCCGCACTCTGCATGACCTAGGGCTCAAAGGCACTCTCTTCTCACGGAATGCTGTCATGTCTGTGTGGTGCTCCATCTCAGCAGGCTGAGCCCACAGGCGGGCACTCTGTACCCCCACCACAGAGTGGCCGTGGGGGTAGGGTTCTTGCAAAATGGAATTTTAACCCTAACCCTTTACACGGCCCCACCCAGGGTGGAACTGAAGAACGGCCGTCCTCTTCCTGGCACGGCTGCCTTCAGCCTTGAGCCCCATGCTTTGGTCATCTGTCCTTGGGCCTTCCACCGCCTGCCCATCCTGGGGGTGGGCGGGAAGGTGCCTGGGGACCCAGGGCACTCTGAGCAGTGCTGGGCTTGGCCCCAGGGTGGGTGGGGCTCCTGCACTGCCTGACTGGAAGGCAGCCCTCCCTGGTCCTGGTGGGGGACCCGGGCCTCACACACAGAGGTCAGGAGGCAGTGGGCAGGAGGCGGTGGGCAGGGCAGGGCCTCCCTGCGCTTTTGCAGTCCCCTCACTCTCAGCAGAGAGACAAGCAAGCCCTGCTTCCCGGCCACCTTTGTGCCTGCTGCCCTCCACCCCAGGGTGCACCCCCAGACACAGCTCTCCTAGACAGAGGCCAGCCCTCCCCAAGGCAGTTCTGGTGGCAGTGGACTACAGGTGGCCCAGGGCATGTGAGGACAACGTGGGTTTAGTTTGATGGGAAAAGTGATGCTCAAGGGGGGATCACTGCAGGTCACACAGGATTAGCAGACAGAGGCTCCAATCCCACTGCAAGCCCGGGACCCCCACACCCCCTTGCCCTGTAGACTGCTGGCATCCCTGCCCCATGTCCATCTTCCATTCAGAGCCTCCCCGGTTGGACTCTTCTGGACAGGTCAGTGGTGGACGCCTGCCTGTACCATGCGTGGAAGGGCCTGCTCTCTTGCTGGCGGGCCTTGGTTTCCTTCCCATGCGCAAGAACCTCAGGGCACAGGCCATTTGGTGACAGTGGCCTGTAGAGGGCAGACAGTGACAGGTAGGTTGGTGTACCTCTGAGCATCTGGACCTACACAGCGTCTCATCTCTAGAGGCAGGAGTCTCTGTCTGGGATTGCCTTGGGGACCTGGATGGATCCCAAGTCTGCTGCAGCCTGGAAAGTGCACCCCAGACATGACAGGCCAGCTGCCGAGGCCAGAGCCCTTTCTGCAGGAGGCTGGGAGCTACGCGGCGTCTGCACACCTGGGGGACCTCGAGGCAGCCAGGCAGCGGTGTGTTTGAACACCCAGGCCCACGTGCACAGGCGGGGGCTTGCCCCAGGCTGGTTCTGGGAAATCGAGCGCTGGTTCACATTGACTTTTCCTAACCTTCAAATGTTTGCAAACGGTCTGCCAGCTCCTGACTTTGGGGGAGTTTATACTAGAACTTTTAACTTTGCTTAGCAAAGTTTCGCAAAATGCAAGCTATACAGAGTTTTGGAAAACAGGCACCACGTCCAGGCCGGACCGGTGTTCTACTCCAAGGGCAGGCTTGGTCTCCTTCTCCTGGAACTCAGGGCCTGGCGGCAGTGCTGAGTGCAGGACAAGCGCAGGAGAGGACCTAGGAGCCTGGCGCCCTCCAGCACAGGCTGTTCTCGTGGTGTGACATGTCATCAGAGTTCCAGAAACTCCCAGAATGGCTTAGTTCTAAGGCTTGGACCCAAAGGGCTCTAATCTCAGCAGACTGAGCCCACATGCGGGGGTTTCCTGGTGAGCAGGCAAAGGGCAGGGGTGACCTCACCACACAGCCCGGCTCCAGTGACCGCTGTGTGTTAACCAGACGGCCGCCCAGGCAAGTGGTTGGGCCTGGGTCAGATGCCCCATTGCCTCATAGTGAAAGGAATGAGAAGCCCCTTCCCCAGGACGTGGTGGGGAGGAAGCTCTGCTGCCCGCAGTTCCCCACCGTCTGGTTCCGGGAGGTTAGTGGGAGAGAAGCTGGCCAGGGAGGGGTCGGCGTCAGAGGGGCGTCTGGGCTGGCCCTCCCGACCCCATGGTGCACGGGGCTGACTCCTGGGCTGCTGCTGCTGTGTGCACTGGGGCCTGGGACACTGTTCACAAAGGAGCTGCCCATGCAGCTGACGGCAGTTTGTATCACCCGAGGACAGGAACCTGCGCTGGGAGGGGGACGGCTCCATCGCAGCGCCAGCAGAGCCCCCCAGAGTCGGCAGTTTCCCAAGCGCAGCTGCCAGTGCTCCGTCTCGGGCAAGGCAGACCAGCCTTCCAGAGGAGCCCCTGTCCCCACCTCCATCAGGCCGGGACAGGTGCGGGTGGGGATGAAGGGGTCTGATCTCTGCCGGTCGCAGCCCCTGCAGGAGTCAGCCTGCCCAGCGTGGTGACATGGAACAGCAGACAGGCCCAGCAAACCTCCAGAGCTTTAATGGGGAGGAGAGGCCGAGCCCGGGGTCTCTGCCGCAGGCGACCCCTTGGCCCGCATGGACTTGTCGATCCACTTGAGGAAGGCAGTGACTTTGGTGTAGACCCCATACTTCCCTTTCCTTGCGCACCCTTCTCCCCAGCTGACAATGCCCGTCACAAAGTAGGTGTCCTTGAACCGGGTGACATGGGGGCCACCGCTGTCCCCCTGGCAGGCGTCCTCCAGCTTGGCGTCGTAGCCAGCGCAGAACATGTTCTGGGTGATGGTGAAGCTGCTGGACAGCTTGCAAGTGTTGCGGTCCACGTAGGGTACCTCCAGCATCTTGAGAGTGCTGGACGGCCGGCCCTTCTCGTGGGTGCGCCCAAACCCGCTCACGATGCCCGTCTTCTGTGTCATCAGTGTGGCCTCTGCCCAGTCCTTCTGGGGCAGGCAGGCAGGGGCCACGTTCATGCGGAAGGTGATGGGCGTCTTCAGCCTGAGGACGGCGATGTCAAAGTCGTAGGTCTCCCTCACGAACTTGTTGTGCTTGACCACCACCTCCACCTCATGGACCATCTCATTGCCCTCCTCCTTCTCCGTGTTCCGGTCCCCTGGAACCGGAGAGGACATCACAGCGTTAGTTCCCTGGGGACGGCATTTGCATGCCAGCTACTTTAAAAGAACTGTATGTGATTGAGAAACGGTCTGTGGCCACATCTGAAACCGAAACATGGGAGAGTGGACTGAGAGCACTTAAAATGACCTTCCACGCCCCTCCTGGGTGCCAGGACCTGGTGTCCCTGCTCACATTCCAGCTAATTCAGGGCGTCGGGTCCTCTTGACTCTTCAGGGTTTCAGCTGGTATCCCGCGTGTGCTCAGTGTGCCAGGCCTGTCCAGGTGCTGGGGAGCTAAAGGTCCAGACCTGGGCTGTGTGATAGGCTGAGCACCTGGAAAGAGGTGTGTCTGAGCCGGGAGGAACTGTGAATCTCTTAGAATGGAAAGAAAGGGGCCGAGCGTCTTATTTAATTGCACATTGAAATGTCAATATTTGGGGTACATGGGTTAAATCAGATGTGATGATAAAATCAACTCCACCCGTTCCTATGGACTTAGTAGACGTGTGACAGAGACTCTAACACTACTGTGACATTTCAGGTGCACTGGTGGCTTGCACTGCGTTTTCCCTGGGCAGCTCGAGAGTCTGCAGAGACAGACTTTAACCAAACGACCCACAGACCCCACAGACGAAAGTAGGAGGTAGGAGGCTCGGGGCGTGTTGCAGAGGGAGGAGGAGGGAGGCCAGGAGGGCTCCGCAGGGACAGCCAGCCACAGGAGAAGGGCCCTGAGGTTCTGGGAGGGGCTGGAGGTCAGCGGCGCCCACCCCTCTTCCACTGCTTCCTCCCCTTCACCTGAGACGCCCCGCCACCTCTGGACAGGCTGCCAGGTACAATCTGTTGTAGAGAGGCTGACGGGTGGGGAGGCTGGGAGGTGGTGCCGGGGCGTGGAGAGTGGGTCACTTACCTACCCTCACCTTGAATCTCTTGGCTTGGTGCAGACAGTGGGCTGCGGTGAGGACGTGGAACGGGCTCAGGATGGTGCCCCCACAGAACCCCTCGTTTTCCTCGTCGATGAGGAGAGCCTGCAGCAGTGAGACTCAGTCAGCCACCCGGGTCACACAGGCCCTGAGGTCAGACTGGACACTTCCAAGGAGAGCTGGCCTCCTGGCCTCGGCAGGAGCTTCTCCATGGGCCGGCCTGTCCCAGAGCTTTCCTTCCTGCTCCCTCTGCCCTGACAGCCGAGAGTCTTCCTCTGGGCTCTGGAGCCACTCTTCAGCCCCTCTGGTCTTTGGAGCCCTTTCCAAAAGGGCCCTGGCGCTCCACACCCACCCTCTGGGGGAGGTCGCCTCGCCCATCCCACTGCTCCAGGCCGGGATGATAGGGTGGCAGGCCCCTTTCTGGGTCCAGGATTTCATTTTCTGCACACCCAGCACCCAGTTCTGCACCCACACAGCGAGTTCTCACTGTCCCAGCCGTGAGCAGGGGCTGATGCTGCCTTCCCATGGGCCCCTCAAGCTCTAGAGCAGGGGACACCTGTCCACAGCCTAGGGCGGGGGCTCGGTGATCTCTGCAGTCCTGCTACGGGACAGGCATCTTGCTTTGGGGCCCTGAAAACCTCCGCCCAAGTTGGGCACCTAGTCCAAAGCGAAAGGGCAAGCCATCGGCAGTGTCCCATGCAACATCCAGGACACCCATCAGAAATCACTCGTTGTTTGTATGAGATTCGAATGTAACTAAAGTCTTGTGCTTTTTTTTTTCTTCTTCTTAAATTGGGCAACCCTAATCCAGTGATTTTTATTTCTCTGTTTTTACTTTTGAGCATAAATGGGTGTGCTTTTCTCTAAGGTACTTTCTGACACTGTCTCCCTGCCCTTAGGAATTTTTAGGTATTTGGGTTATTAAAAAAAAATTAGAAATGACACAAGGACAGTGACTTTCTTCCTCACCCTTGGAGGCGGGAGTGGCCTGACCCTTATGGGCAGGTTTCCAGACTAGGCCTTCCTGCCTTTCCGTCCTTCCCAGAACAGGACAGCCCTGGGCATGGCGGGCCAGCAGCGAGGACGCCCGAGGGGCGGTGGGTGGCAGAGCAGGGAACACACCGTGCCCCAGCCTCCTGCAGGCTGTGGCTCGCGTGCTGGGTGGGGGGCTCTTGCCCAGTGGGACTCTGCCTGAATGGGGGGCTACTCCCCAGGTGCTGAGCAGGAGGGGCCCAGCTGTGCCTTCCCAGAGCTGCTCAGGACAGTTACCTGCCAGGGACACTCCCCCTCTTCACAGTCCCGGCCGCCCACAATCCGAATGAGGTTCCTGCTGTCCTTCTGGTAGGTCTGGTTGAGGTTGAGCAAGTTGGAGGGGTCCTGGGTGGGAGGCAGGCTGTCCAGGCCGCTCCAGGCCGGCGTGCTGGTCCTGGGCATAGCCTCGCTGCTGTTGGCAGCTGGGTCCGCTGACCGCTTCCTGCGACCCAGAGTGAGCTTCCCACAGGGGAAGAGGTCTGAAAGAAGCACAGCGGCGCCTCAGCAAAGCCAGGCCCCCGCACCCCTCGGCCCCAGCCGGGAGTCCCGGGCAGACGGACTCTGGTGACGCTTGGTAGGTGGGGGCGGAGCCCCAGGTGGGTGCAGCTGTCTGCATGGGGCTCACCTCACCCTGAGCAGGAGGAGAGGTGCACAGCTGCCTACAACTGGCAAAGGCACCAACAAGTAAGATTGGTGTGGGGGAAGGGCAGAGGGGGCGCCGGCAGGGCGAGGCAAGAGGCCCGAGGAGAGTCCAGAGGGCTGGCTTCCACAGGGGTGGCCTGGACGGTTCTGATCTTGCTGTATGCTTGAAATTTTTCCTCATGAGGTGGCGAATTAAAACCCAGTGTTCCAGGCAGGAAGCACAGGCAAGCAGCCTGCAGCCAAGCGGGGGGGGGGGGGGGCCAGGGAGCCGATGCAGCTTTGTGGGGCCCCATCTGCCGCTTCCTGGCTCCTGCAGGGACCCAAGAGCAGGGCCATGTATTTGAACCCTCCCTTCGCACGTCACCTGCAGGGGACCCAAGGCAGAGAGGATGGCGTCCCTGCAGAGCCAGAATGAAGAGAAGGGGACGCAGCGGCAGGACAGGACAGCAACCCCGTGCTTGTCAGGGTGCTTTCCCCTGGCCCAGGCGGGGCCTGGCAGCCGCCCGCCTGCACGGTGCTTGGGCGTGTTCCCCGGAAGCAGGCCCCTCTTCCTACACTTGTTAGCTCTGGAGGATGTTTGTGCACCCCCTTTCACACTCTGAGTTTGCTCTCTAGGACGAGACCAGAGCTTCCTGCGTTAGGAAGTAGTTTACTAGTCTTTCTTTCTCTTTCTTCTTTCTTTTTGTGGCATTGGGATGAAACCCAAGGACCTTGCACATACTGGGTGAGTGTTTTACCACCGAGTCATACTCCACAGCCCTTTATTTTAATTGATTTGTGAATATTCCTGCAATCAAAAAAAAAAAAAAAACTGTACGCATGTCAAGAAATGGCTTCAATTAAACTATTTCTGCATCAGCTGAAGCTTAAAACTTCATTATCCAAATGTATGATATATGATATGTCAAGATCAATGTAATGTATTAGTTGTAATTGAGCAACTAATAAATTCCTGATGTTTAAAACAAAACAAAACACTTCATTATCAACCGGGTATAGTGGCTCACACCTATAACCCCAGCGGCTCAGGAGCCTGAGGCAGGGCAATTGCAAGTTCAAAGCCAGCCTCAGCAACTTAGCAAGGCCATAAGCAGCTTAATGAGACCCTGTCTCTAATAAAATATAAAAAAAGGCCGGGAATATGGCTCAGTGGTTAAGCAGGTTCAATCCCCAGTACCAAAAACAAAACAAACAAAACAAAAACTTCATTATCAATGGAAACCAACTTGCATTCCTTTCTTTTTGAGGGTTTCATATTACGTAATTGAAGTAAACTTTGAAGGATATATTTGGGACCTTTATTTTTCTTGATTACTAATTTTTTGAAATAAACTGTTTAAACTGAGAAGAATATGACAGAGTAATGAGTCCCCTGGGGAAGTCAAGTCTCTGGATGGAGGGTATGTCACCGGGCTCCGACTGGAACCTCATGGGTGCCTGGTCACCTGGCTCTATGACAGGCAGCCTGCCCACTGCTTCCCTATCTCGCCCAGGTGATGCCTCAGGAGAGGGGGGCCAGCAGGGGCCATGAGAGGTAGATGGGTGGCCTGAGGGCCAACCTCTCAGGTCCCCAGTGCCCTCGTCCCTAGCCCAGTGGGTTCCTGAGCCTGTTCTGCATTCACTGCTCTCTGGGAGCCTCATGCGCAGTGGCCCCAGTGCTGATCATCACACTCCCAGGGTCCAGTTCTTTCCAAGTGAGAGGAAGATTGAACTCCGCCTTCCTCCACCCAGGCAGAGTGCCCGGCAGGAGTCGCCTCCTTCCAGAACCACGTCCAACCCGCAGGCAAGTGGGAGTGAAGGACAGGTTAGCCAGCACAGCTGCTCGCAGGACCACGGGGCTTCCCATGGGAAGGACCCAGCCCTGGTGCCAGGCTGCGGCTCTCTTGGCAACCCACCCGGCCCAGCAGGAGGCCCTGCCCTGCCCTGCTCATGGCACGTGCTCCTGGTCTGATGCCACCAGCTCTGTGGCTCAGGAGCCCTGTGTGGCCTCAGGTCCTCCTACCTGTGGAGATGCAGGACTTGCCGTCGTCACCGAGGGTGTACCCACTGGCGCAGGAGCACACCACTGAGTTCTGCTTTTCCTGGCAAAACTGGTCGCAGTCCCCGTTGTCCAGGCTGCAGAGTTTCCGTGCGACTGTGGGCAGAGGAAACCGCTGCAGCGGCAGGAGGGACCAACTCCAGCCACCCACCCGTCCTGACACACAGGGCCCCTGCAGGAAAGGTGCTCATGAGCAGCCAAGTGAGGTGGCTGCTCCACATGTGCCCTGCCTCCTAGGCCACTGAGGGACACCTGGCATTCACACAGGTTCTGCACTGCCCTAAGAAACCCAAGCTGCCCAGGAAAGGCTAGAAGGTGGACAGAGGTCCCCAGGGCTGGGTGGTGTGGACTGAGGTCAGGACGCTCACTCCAGGGACCAGGGACCAGGGACCTGGGCAATTCCAGGCAGGGGCTCAGAGCCCCTGCAGCCAAGGCCAGAAGGCTGTCTGTGGAACTGAGGCTTCTGTGACCATGGGGGGCTCCTCAGGCCTGACTGGTCTTCATGTTCATCCAGGGTCAGGCCGACACCCTTACCATGCCACGCAGACAGCTGGAAGCCTTGCTCCTCCACAGAGGCTGGCCCCTGGCACGTGGGAGGGTCTAAGAGGAGTTACTTTCCCTTCAACTTCCATCCACTCCTGTGGCCACTAGATCCAGACAGGTCCCCATGGTGGCCTCCTGTGTTCTCTGCTGAGGGCTGCATGCGTCCTGCCCAGCCAGAGGGCCCTGCTGTTTGGTGGGGTGCCTTCAGCTCCAACTCTCTCCCCTCACCCATCATTAACAGTGGAACAGTTGCTGAGCACTGACCACCACTGCACACCCCGGACCCTGCTGTGGACACCTGTGCTCACAGCTCTGGGACCCTGGGGCTCGGCCAGGGCACGGGCCTGTGGGGGTGCCTGTCAGGAGCTGGAGAACTGCTCCAGCACAGGCAGGAGGAGGGACAGCTGTGCACAGAGTGGGCAGGGGCCCTGAGGCCTGAGGGCAGCTGACCTCTGGCTGTGTGATCCAGGTACTTAACTAAGCCGCAGGGCCTCAGTGGACACACATGCAAAGTGGGGTGGCAAAGTCACCTCAGAGGCCTGTGAAGCTCCTGACAGGGTACTCACAAGCCATGCGCCACTGTCAATCACCAGCCTGTCCATCACACCTCAAGCCCGGTGGGGCCGACCTCTCACAGTCAGCAGCAGCACTGGGGGCCAGAGTTTTGGGGGGGGGGGCTGCCAGTACTGGCTGAATCCAACCCAGTTCACACTGTGGTGATCTGCTTCACAGGGTCCCATTTGGGTTTGGATGAAAAGATAATTACAATGTAGAGGTCGACATGATGCAAGTAGAAAGCACTTGTTAGCTCTGGGAGACTTCTTCATACTGTGTCTAAGTCAGCTGAATGGTTTGCAGGCAGGGGCCTGGACTTTAATGGAATGAGACATGACTGATATTACTAAAGTAATAGCAATTTAAAAGACATGCGTATCTGTTTGAATCATGGATATGCATGTCTTCTAAATTATGTAACAATCTTTAGAACATGTTCTTGGATTGGATTACTTTAGGACTTTCTCCAGTGCTAAACGCCATCAAAAGCCTACCAACCAAGAAAATCCCAGGACCAGATGGATTCTCAGCCGAGTTCTACAAGACCTCCAAAGAAGAATTAACACCAATACTTCCCAAAGTATTCCATGAAATAGAAAAGGAGGGAACCCTTCTAAGTGCATTCTATGAGGCTAATATCACCCTGATACCAAAACCAGACAAAGACACATCAAGGAAAGAAAACTTCAGACCAATATCCCTAATGAACACAGATGCAAAAATTCTGGCAAATGGCATACCAAAACATATTAAAAAGATCCTGCACCACAATCAAGTGGGATTCATCCCAGGGATGCAGGGTTGGTTCAACATACGGAATCAATAAACGTAATTCATCACATCAATAGATTTAAAGACAAGAATCATATGATCATCTCAATAAATGCAAAAAAAAACATTTGACAAAATACAGCACAACTTCATGTTCAAAACACTAGAAAAACTAGGGACAGTAGGAACACACCTCAACATTGTAAAGGCTATCTATGCTAAACCCAAGGCCAGCATCATTCTCAATGGAGAAAAATTGGAAGCATTCCTTCTAAAAACTGGAACAAGGCAAGGATGCCCTCTTTCACCACCTCTATTCAACATCATCCTTGAAACTCTAGCCAGAGCAATTAGACAAAAGAAAGAAATTAAAAGGATATAAATAGGTAAAGAAGAACTCAACCTATCACTATTTGCTGATGACATGATTCTATGTCTAGAAGATCCAAAAAATTCCACCAGAAAACTTTTAGGACTAATAAATGAATTCAGCAAAGTAGCAGGATATAAAATCAACAGCCATAAATCAAACACATTCCTATACATCAGCGATGAATCCACTGAAAGGGAAATTAAGAAAACTACTCCATTCACAATAGCCTCAAGAAAAAAAAAATACTTGGGAATCAACCTAAAAAAGAGGTGAAAGACCTCTACAATTAAAACTACAGAACATTAAAGAAAGAAATTGAAGAACACCTCAGAAGATGGAAAGATCTCCTATGCTCCTGGATAGGCAGAATTAATATTATCAAAATGGCCACACTACCAAAAGCATTATACAGGTTTAATTCAATTCCTATTAAAATCCCAATTACAGTCTTCATAGAAATAGAAAAAAAATCATGAAATTTATTTGGAAAAATCAGAGACCCAGAATAGCTAAAGCAATTCTTAGCAAGAAAAGTGAAGCAGGAGGCATCACAACACCAGACCTTAAAGTATACTACAGAGCCATAGTAACAAAAATGGCAGGGTATTGGCACCAAAACAGACTGGTAGACCAATGGTACAGAATAGAGGACACAGGGACTAATACATAAATACAGTTATCTCATACTAGACAAGGGTGCCAAAAATATTCACTGGAGAAAATATAGCCTCTTCAACAAATGGTGCTGGCAAAACTGGAAATCCATATGTAGCAAAATGAAATTAGACCTCTATATATCACCCTGCACAAAAATAAACCCAAAGTAGATCAAAGGCGCCTAATAGAAGAAAACACAGGCCCAAATCTTCACCATGTTGGCCTAGGATCTGACTTCCTTAACAAGACTCCTAAAGCACAAGAAGTTATATCAGGAATCAATAAATGGGATGGATTCAAATTTAAAAAAAAATTCTCAGCAAAGGAAACAATTAATAAAGTGAGAAGAGAGCCTACATGTTTGGAGAAAAGTTTTACCACATGCACCTTCAATAAAGTACTAATCTCTAGGATATACAAAGAACTCAAAAAACCTAACACAAAAAAAGAAAAAACACAAAAAAACAAATAACCCAATCAATAAGTGGGCTAAGGAACTGAACAGACACTTCACAGAAAAAGAAATACAATTGATCAACAAATATATGAAAAAGTGTTCGGCTTCTCTAGCAATTAGAGAAATGCAAATCAAAACTACTCGAATATTTCATTTCACTTCTGTCAGAATGGCAATCATCAAGGATACAGGCAACAACAAATGTTGGCGAGGATGTGGGGAGAAGGCACACTCATACATCGCTGGTGGGTCTGCAAATTAGTGCAACCACTATGGAAAGCAGTATGGAGATTCCTCAGAAAACTGGGAATGGAACCACCATTTCACCCAGCTATCCCACTCCTTGGTTTATACCCAAAAGGACTTAAAATCAGCACACTATACTGACGCAGCCATATCAGTGCTTATAGTAACTCAATTCACAATAGCTAGGCTATGGAACCAACCTAGGTGTCCCTCAATAGATGAATAGATACAGAAAATGTGGTATATATACTCAATGGAATATTACTTGGTTTTAAAGAAGAGTGAAATTATGGTATTTGCCAGTAAATAAATGGTTGGAGTTGGAGAATATCATGCTAAGTGAAATAAGCCAATCCCACAGAACCAAAGGCTGAATGTTTTCTCTAATATGCGGATGCTAATTTACAATAAGGTGGGGGCACTAGAGAAGAATAGCAATACCTTAGATTAGGTAGAGGGAAGTGATGGTAGGTGAGGGGAGGGATGTGGGGATAGGAAAGATAGTAGAAGGAAGCAGACATTATTACTGTATGTATATATGTGACTGCATGACCAATATGATTCTGCAACATGTACATACAGAAAAATGAAATCATATCCCATTTATGTATGATACATCAAAGTGCATAAATGCATTCTATGGTCATGTACAACTAATTAAAATACATAAAAAATTTTTTAAAAAAAGACAGGCATATCTTTCTTTTTAGGGAAATCTGGCCTTATAATAACATATTTTTGTTAAAAATCATTAATCATATTGGAGAAAACTCAGTGATGGTCCCATGTAGAATGAATTAAATGTATCAAAACTTTGTAACTAGCTAATATCAAATATCCCTGTTGTTGTTTGCATTTACAAATCTAAGTAGAAGGAGGTGATTTTGGATCCTTGCTCCAGGCTATAAGGGCCTGAAGAGCAGAGTACACCATTCTATCCAGATATTGGAGGGTCCAGGCTTCGTGGGTGCTCTGAGATCCCTCTCAGAGCAGCAGGGAGACACTGTACCCTGACCTTGGACAGTTTGGAAGTCACAGGCTCTGTGTTTAGGGCTTCCTGCAGGGGCACAGGATAACAGAGCACAGACTTCAACAACTAGAAGTAACTCAAGGTCATCTCATCATGGATTTCCCGCCTTCTCTCCCTCCCACCTCCTATCTACAGGCATTTCTGCTCTGAAGGTAGCCAAGCAGAGGGACTTACAGAATTCGCAGTTTTTGCCTTCGAATCCTTCCAGGCAGGAGCAGGAGTACTCTCCGAGCCCATCTTTACACATTCCCTGATTCTGGCAAGGATTGCTATCACACTGGTCACCATCTGCAAAGAGAGGGTGGGCACCAAGCCTGCAGGCATGACCATCCCAGACGAACTTGAGCTTGGCATGGCCGGCCACAGGCACGCACCCATAGACAGCTCGAGCTAGCTTCAGCTGCTCTGGGAACAACACTGTCTTTGGACTGTGTTTTCCCCCCCTTGGAGGCCCTGCCTCACTGGCCCTTGACTGCCCCCTAGTTCTGTCGAGATGTTTTACAGTGTGTCTATGGCCAGAGTGGCCCTCTGGCTGGCGGCTGCAGTGGTCACCTGAAGCAAAGGCTTCTGAGCTAAGCATTGACAAGAGGGTGTCGGGTTCCACTTTGCACGTGACCTGAGGTGGAAGAGGAAACAGAGACTCCCATCCAGCCCTGGCATGGGCTTCCCATTTCTTGGTGGAAGTTCAGCACCTGATGCAGAGCTGGGTCAACTGCCACTTGAGAAACTTTGAGTCTGTTTTCAGTAGTCACCATTAACACCTTCTTATGTGCTGGAAGATTTAGATCAGGGTGGCTAGCTTGTTAGGAAATCCAATCTTTCAGATTCCTTTTTTTGCTTTCATGTAATACACTTGTATTTTAAAAAAATACCGTGGAATTTGGTATCCTCAAATAAGAATAAAGTGATTAAAATCTACATTTGAGCTGGGTGATGTGGCATGAACCTATGGTCCTAGCTACTCAGGAAGCTGAGGCTAGAGAATCACTTAAGCCCAGGAGTTTGAGACAAGCCTGGATGACATAGTGAGACTTCATCTCAAAAAGAAAAAAAAATCTTGCTGGGCCTGGTGGTACATCCCAGTAATCCCAACTATTCAGGATGCTGAGGCAGGAGGATTTCTAGTTTAAGGTTAGCCTGGGCCATTTGTATCTTAAAATATAAAGAGGGTGGGAAGGTAGCTCAGTGGTAAAATGCCCCTGGGCTCAATTCCCAGTATGAAAAATCTATAGTTGAGTAAATAAAACTAGAATTAATAAAAACCACTATAAAAATAATATCAAATAACTATTGTGGGAACACCCAAAGGGCAAACATCTTAAATGTGTAAGATTTTAAATAGGAGCAGGAAGGATATTCACCAAGTATTTTAGAAAGTCAAATATAATCTCTCTGCATTTAAATATCCTAATGAGCCTCTCCCACTTAAGAGTAAAACAGAAAACACCTCACCTTTGTATTTGTTCCAGAATTCATTCTAAAATAAAACAAACATTTAGAAATGCATTAGGAAAGAAGACATTTCATGCCATTCACTCCGTAGCTGCAACTAGGCCGAGGAAAGAATTGTTCTAGAATCACCTGATCTAAAGGGGAAGGGAGGGGCTGGGGTGGTGGCTCGGTGGTAGAGCGCTCGCCTTGCACGTGAGAGACCCTGGGTTCCATCCTCAGCACCACATAAAGATAAATAAACAAAATAAAGGTGTTGTGTCAATGTATAACTAAAAAAATATTTTAAAAGAATAAAGGGGAAAGGACAGGAATCTTCTCTATTAGTAGATGTGGCTTAGTTTGTCTTAAATTAAACATTTTTGTTGAACTTTCAAGTTAATCATCAAAACCCAGATTGTGCCAAGAACAATCATTCTGTTTCCCAGCCCTTGCTGTCTGGTTGTCACAATCACCCCACCGCTTAGAGAAGTGCTGTCACCAGGCTCCTGTGACACTGAGACACTCAGTCTTGGTCTGTCTGTCTGGGTTGGCTGCGTAGGCCCCTCCACAGGCCCACTGGGCCCCAGCACGTGCATTCATTAGAACAGGGTCCTCGTAGGTGTAATTAAAAGGCTCCAGAGGGGATCATCCTGGAGTACCACAAGTCCCCGCTCACAAGCCTGTCCCCCAGAGACAGAGAAGGACACCTGCAGCCATCAGAGAGAAGGCCAGTGAGGATAAGGGGCAGAGCAGTCACAGGGGCCACATGCTTGGGGACAGGCACAAACACACTCCTCCAGCCTCTGCAGGGGAGCCAATCTGCTGATGCCTCGATTTTTGATCTGGTGTCTCCAAAACTACAAGAGAATAAATCCCTGACATTTTAAGGCATCTGGTTTGTGGCATTTCATTATGGTGGCCCTAGAAATGAATGCAGTGTCTTTTAATTTTTTTTTTAATAAGTCACACAGTAAAATCAACTTTTCGCGTATGATTCTATGAGTTTCAATATGTGTATATATTTGTATAACAACTACCACAATCAGGATATGGGACACATCTGTGCTCCCCACCTGGCACTGACCTGCTCTGAGTCACCACAGCAAGGCCTTTTTACACTGTCACATAACTGGAATCCTACATCAAGTAACCTTGTGAAACGAGCCGTCATTCAGCACAGTGCCTTTGAAATCACCCAGGCCAACACATACACCAAAGGTGGGTCCCGGCACTGCCCAGTAGTGGTCCACTGCATGGCTGTCCCCCGTTGTTCACTCCTTCACCCACAATGGACACTCATGTCCAGTTCTGGTAATCACGAACAGGACTGCTGTGAACATTTGTGTAGAGGTGTTTTGTGAAAACAAGGAATGGCTGTCTGCATTTGTCACCTTCAACACCATGAGAGATCAATCTCCAGTATTTAAAGCCACCCAATGTGTGGTGCTTTGTTATGGTAGCTCTGGAAATGAATGCAATGTCTGAGTTATATGGCTAACTTTGTAAAAATCTCTCCGACTCTTCAAGATGAGGGTGCTGCCGGCCTTCCCCTTAGTAGCATATAAGGTTCTGGTTGCTCCACATCATCAAGGGTCACTATTTCTTCCTTTCTCAGTTATAGAGGTTTTGTTGATAAATCACATTTCCATAGTGGCCCATGGTGTTGAGTATCTTCTTATGGGCTTGTCATACATATTTTGTCTTTGGTGAGGTAGCTGTTCAGGTCTCTTCATCAAATTTACTTCGGTGTTTATTTTCTTCTTCTTAGTCATTAGCCTACATATTCTGAATACAAATTTCTTTTTGGATATGTAAACTGCAAATACTTTCTTAGTGTGTAGCTTATATTTTCATTCTCTTAACTGAGCAAAAGTTTTAATTTTGACATAGTTGTCAATTGATCATCTACCTATTTTCTTTTATGAATCCTTCTTTTGGCTGAGGCAAGAGGAGCACAAGTTCAAAGCCAGCCTCAGCAACCTAGTGAGGCCCTCAGCAATTTAGCGAGACCCTGTCTCTAAATAAAATATTTTAATCAGGGCTGGGCTGTGGCTCAGTTCACAAAAGCACCCATAGGTTGATCCTCAAACAAACAAAACCCAAATCAAACAAAACCAAAACAAACAAAAAAACAACCCAATCATTCTTTTGGTGTGTTTGGTGTTTTCTATGCAAATGGCTATGCTGTCTGAAAACAGGGTGTAAGAATGGCCTTAGGCCTTGGCCTAAACAAGCCCATTTTAAAACTCCATTTTAAAATAAACCTGGCAAGTCTCAGAGCTCTCTGATATGTCATCAAGCATATCTGGTTAAAAACAAGTCACTTTCCACAACCTAGGTAAGAGGGTGAAGTCATGTGTCATTTGTAATAACCCTGATAACAGCCAGAAGGGTATCAGGGTAGACACCACCAGACATATGTCCTCTCTAAGATGTAAGTTGTCACTAAGAAACCTGGTAACAGCTGATAGGGATCCTAAATGCACGCAGAAGCTCCAAGATTTAGTATGAATAATGGAACAAAAGGACATCCAGCCAGCTGACACTGACGCACACAGCCTGAGAGCCTGGTGAGCACCTGGACAGACAGCCCAGCTCTTCTCATCATCTGCCTGATCCTCTGTGTTGTCCTCATGGCTCTCAAACTCTACAGCAGCCTCCTGACCTGGTGAGAACAGCGACCTCTCCTAACACCCTCTCCTCACCAACCGTCAGCTCCACCCCAGGAGAAGCTATCGGTTCCTGGCCTGGACAGGGTGAGTGGGCATCTGCTGGGTTTAAGACCTAAGACTCAAGACTTTAAATCTAGCACTTAAGCTCAGCCTGCAGAGGGACTGTCTGTGATAGGTCTGTCGTGACTAAGTGTGTTTGCAGTGCTTAGAGTTAACTAAGAATTGCTTGCTTTGAACTGATTATGTCTACTGCAGTGCCCAGCATTAAGGATTGTCATTCCCTGATTAAGAACCTATAGAGTGGGCCGGGGTTGTGGCTCAGTGGTAGAGTGCTTGCCTAGCATGCTTGAGACACTGGGTTTGATCCTGGGAACCACAAAAAAATAAATAAAGGTATTGTGTCCATCTGCAACTACAAAAATATTGAAAAAAAAGAAACTATGGAGTGAAATTGTATTAAGTGATTTGAGTGAATAAAGTATTGAAAGGGGCATCAGTGCATGGCCATTCTTTATTTCTCCCCTCGACTGCATGTCACACCTTTGCCCACTGTGACACAAGGACAGCTTTACTCCTGACTTCCTGTAAGACTTGCTGTGGCTGGGACTCCAGCACAGTGGAAGCAGGAGCCGGGGATGAACAGGCAGCAGGAAAGCACTCACTTCTCCCACTCAGCTCCACGACACTGGTTGTCCTGTCAAGGTGCCCCCGTCACACTGGATTTCACTCCCTTTCACTCACAGCCTGCCGACTGTTCTTCATCGTGAAGTTTTACGTCTAGATTCATGAGACGGTTTTTTGTTGTTTTGATACTGGCAATTGGACCCAGGGGCACTGAATTATTTATACATGTGCTAACTTCCAAATACTTGGAGATATTTCTATACTGATCATTTAGTTTAATTCCGTTATGACCAGAAAACATTACATGAGCTCACTCTTTTAAATTTGTAAGGTTTACTTAGAAAATAGAATCCAGAAGAAATACAGTGATATTTAAAAATAACTCAGTTGCCAATACATGAGGATAGTGACTTCCCCATATAATCATCTTTTTAGAATGTAAGTATGGTAGCTCTACAGAAGAGTGTTGGGAGATAATGCTGAGTGAAAACGGTGAACTTGAACTTGGATAAGCGTTGCAGTTTTCTTCATCATTCCTTATTGTTTTAGTCAGCCTTTTTGCTGTTGCAACTAAAAGAAATGACCAGCACAATTACAGAGGAGGGAAAGTTGACCTGAGGCTCACAGTTTCAGAGACCTCAGTTCATAGACAGCAGGCTCTATTCCTCAGGGCTCAATGTGAGGCAGAGCATCATGGTGGAAGAGTGTGGCAGAGAGAAGCAGCTCATATGATGATCAGAAAGGAGAGAGAGGGAGAGGGAGAGGGAGAGAGAAAGGGGAGACTCTTCACTTGCCAGATACAAATCTATTCCCTAAAGTCACGCCCTCAATGCCCACCTCCTCCAGCCACAACCAACCTGCCTTCTGCTACCACTCAACTAATCCCATCAGGTGACCAACTCACAGATTGGGCCCAGTCATTTCTCCTCTTGCATCATCCCACACATGAGCTTTTGGGGGACACCTCACATCCAAACCATAACATTCCACCTCTGAGCCCCCAAAGTTCGTGACCATATCACAATGCAAAATACATCTAGTCCACTTCCAAGAGTCCCCATTGTCTCTACAGTTCCAAGGTTGCCCAAAAGTTCAAGTCCAAAGTCTCCTGAGACTCAGGGCAAACATGCATCATGAATTCCTGTAAAAAAATCAAAAGTGATTTACAAGTATCCAATATATAAAGGTACACAGTGAACATTCCCTTCACAAAAAAATAGAGGCATAGAAAGAGGGATAGGACCAAAGCAAGATCAAAATCCAGCTGGGCACACAAGTCCTGCTGCTCCACTTACGCCATCTGGGGCACGTGGCATGGTGACATTCTGTCCAAAGGGCTTGCGGAGCTCCACCCTGGGTCTTGTTGCAGTCCAAGTGGCCTTTCTGTTGGTTTGTCTCTGTTCCTGCAGCTTTCCTTGGTCAGTGTCCCATGTTGCTGGCATTTTTTAATCTCCGGGTCTCCACTGCAGCTTCAGCTTCCTTCTCACATCTTCGCTTTGCCCTTTCAGGGGCTGCCCACAGGGACTCCAGCTCTGGGGCACTTCCTCTGGCTTCCCAGGCCTTCCTTCGAAACATTGGTGGAAGCCTCCACGAGCCCTAACTCCATGGCTTATACCAAGGCCTGCCACCATCCCCAGCAGCAGCCAACCCTCCAGGGACCCTGGCTGCAGCAGCCTCTGAGTGTCTGAGCTCCTTGAAAACACTTCCCGGGCCTCCTTGTGCAAGGTTTCCCTACTGGTCTCTTCTCGAG